CTTACTCTTGGTTGGAATCATTCGGTAAGTTAGTCGTTTTTGTGAATGTTTGCAAGGATCCTAGAAGGACCTCTAGCTTTGTAAACACGAGCAACCTTGGCGCTTATCACTATTATCTTTGAAGATACTCGAAATAGGAAGGATAAATAAACTCATAAAGTAGACTATTGAGCTACAAGTTCCACAACATAGAAGCTGGATTCTCTAAAAAGCTAAGTTCATGGGTGTTTAAGTCGAAATCTGGTCGTACGAGATTCTACTTGAGAATCAAGATGCCTAGGATCTGTAAAACAAAGGTGAACGTTCAGAAGCTCAAATTAATCTTAGGTTGAACTATTTCAATATATAATTTGCCATCAGAATCACACGTACTTGAGAATCTTTAGTACTTATAAGTGTACATCACTTATAATCGTTGTTCAATCACACGTTTCCACAAACTCCAGCATTAAATCTATTAGTAGAATGATTGCACCGTTACTAGCCTGCGTGAAGGGTGTTCAGCCTTATAGGTTGAATATCGGAATACATATATACTTCGCATATATCTGTCGACATATTACTCCTTGGTTTTTTTAATTTTCCGATCCGTGCCTCCCCTAACACACGGTGACGCAAATATATTCGCCCTCCGGAGAGAGATCAGGAGGGCTACTTAGAGACTTTGGAGCCGTAAATGTAAAGGTTACTTGGTTGAACATACATGAAAAAAAAAATTAAAAAATTTGTAGATATAATAACTCTCTTAAATATGGGTAATTGTGCAGGCTTACCCTTCTTAAACATCAATTCTTTTACTCTTTCAAAATTGAGATATTATTGTAATTCAAGTGTCACTTAGTATATTTGGCGTCTCTTTTCCTAGGAATAAAATTGTTTTTCTTTCGTTTGAAATGTAATATTGCAAGAACCTATGCTTTAATTAGATAAAATTACAAAAGTTAAACTTTAAATTATGTAGCACAAATGCATAACATTATTATATGTTTGTTGAATATTAGAAAGGAATATTTCAAATCAAGATACATATCATTATTTACAATAAAGTAACAATCTCATCATTTTGAGATATTAATATTAAAATTATAATTGAATAACATAAATGTAATACTTAGAACAATTTTGGGGTGACTATAAAATATATATGTACATTATTCTTATCAAAATCAAAAGTTGGTGAACTCATGAAAAATAAAAAATTCCAAAAGATGGTTATTTATTACAATTTTCCGTTGTAGTTCCTTAAAATGGACCTAAGTATATAAGTGGTCTAAGCCCAATAGAAATTGTAGGTTGCTATTTTATTTTAATTATATATTGATATTAGATTTGATGTGTTCTTCCCCTGCCTTTCTAAAGTGGACGAGTAAATACTTTAAATTTTAAACAACGATAATAAGTACTTTGCTTAATTAACGAAAAGTAGTTGAAGAAATTCTAAAGACATATAAAATTACTCAAAGTTAGAAAGAAGTATTTAACTAATTTTCTTCTTAAAATACTTATATAATGAATTTTCACTTAAATATGTATTTATTTTTTTAATAGGCCTGTTAAATGCCCGATTTTCTTTTATTTTTATTTTTCTATTTTTACTACATTAGATGTAGCTCTAGTTAGATCCATATAACAAACGTTAGCAATATTTTTTGGGATAGTTTGGCGCACCTCAACATAAAATATTAAATCTTAGGTGGATGACCATCGTAGTTTTTAGTAATATTTATGAAATAATACTTTAATAAAAAAGTGTTTGATTACAAATCACTTTGATGTTTGGTTATACCCTCTTAAAACTTCTTTTGTGATGCTTCTGGGTTCGGGGTTAGGCCAAAAGTACTTTCAAAGTACCTTCTTTATTAAGTGCATTTTTATTTTACTAAAAGCAATTTTATGTTAATTATAAACATAGTAATTTTGAGGGGGAAAAAAAAGGCATTTGGACCCTCTAAAAAGTATGGTTAAATTGCAGTCTCTCTTTTATGCCATTTTCTAAAAATTATGTATTTCCTAAAAAAAAGAAAAACCAGAAAAAGGTGATGGCACACTACGTTCGAAATTTCACTCTAAGTTTGTATCAAAACAAACGTCATTCATACCTGCATTTTTCGTATGTGTGTGCACTGAGAGTGGAGAATCGAAAAAATATATTACCTTAACTAGTTGAGTTACATTCAGATTTAACATATATTTAAGAAATAATGTGATTAATTAGATACATAAAATATAAGCATATATTAATAAAAACATGACATTCGATACAGCATAATTAATATTCTTAATATATATAATGGAAAGATCTATAAGTCACATATATATATATATATACAAGCACTTGATCAGTTGGGAGCTTTGGTTGATATCAATGGAGTAGCTTTTATTCTTTACTTCAATCCTTCTTGGTTGTTGCAATCATTGTAGCTTTAGACTCTTCAACCTCCAAAATCACAAATAAAATAAATAAATAAATTGAGAGGGTGCACCCCAAATGAGCATTACTAGCTAATTACACATTTGGCACTTTCTTTTATTAATTTTAAACCTATCATTACACTTTAAAAAATTTATGCTGATTTTGATTCTTAAACTTTCTAACATTTATCTAATTTTACTTTAATTTCTCTGTACTTTGAAACCTCCCTTTCAGTATCTATATACTTTTAAAAATAGTTATTTTGGTATATATTATTTTTACTTTTTATCTCATATTTTTCGATCAATACAATTTCAACACGACATTACACTCAATACATTTCTTGAAATGTAGTCATGATATATTCTAATTAAAAAGTTTTCGTTGTATAGTGTTAAAATTTTGTAGATAGGAAATCAAAATGATCACTTTAAAAAAAATATATAAGAATCAAAACAAATGTTTTGAAAATACCGAAATTAAAACAAACCATCGTTCAAATTACAGGTACCAAAACAGACATTTTAAGAAGTAAAGAAACTAAAATGAATTAGATAAATAGGGTTTAAAAAGATGGACGATTTAACTGTATGTTCATATTTTGGACAAGTTCCTTTGTGAATTTTTTTGTTACCAACCAAATTTAATCTAATATATGAAATAACCAAAAATTATTCATTTATAAAAAATACACGGATCAAAATGAATATTTTGAAAGTACATAAAATAAAACAAACCAAAATTAAAATTATAGATACGGAACATACATATTTTAAGAAGTATAAAAACTAAAATAAACGGGAGAAATAGGATTTAAGAAAACGAACCATTTTAACTGTACGTTGATATTATTTTGAAGAAGTTCCTTTATGATTTTTTTTTTTTTTGGTTATGAACCAAAAGACAATCTAATATATGATCTAGAGATGTGTTTACCTTTGTTGTTCTTCAAGAAAATTGGAATATTGTTTAGTGTTGTAATTGGGGAGAGGAACTCGGCCGGACTCGATATTGTGGACGTCCTCCACCAGCATATCGTAGTGAGTCTTAACTTCCTCCGCCGTCTTCCCGCCGACGGCTCTGGCCAGATTCTGCCACCGCTCCGGCGACTCCTTGTCGTACACCGTCAGAGCATTTTCAAACAACTTATTTTGCTTCGAACTCCACAACGAAGAAGACGAAGAAGAAGAACCCATTTCTGAACAAAACACAACTCCCTATGCCTTCTCACTTCTCTATTTATAACAGAGCGCCCCATCTAGTGAGAGAAAGAGATGAGAGAGAGACGGTGCCGCCCGCTTTAATCTCTAAATTCACCCCTCAAATCTCTCCTCTTGCTTTTTCTTTACTTTCACTAAAAACCCACGTTGACGTGTAATTTAGGATTCATTTAGTATCGTTTTTGTTTTTTATTTTTATATTTAACTTTTTTTATTAACATATAGATTTGACAACATTTCTTGTTTCTTATTCTCGTTTTTTAAAAGTGTTTTTTGGAATTCTAGAAACAACGTGATCAAATATTTTTACCTTAATTTTTTTACGAAAATATATAAAAAAGAAAGAATAAAAAATAAAAATAGTTACGAAAAGAAACTTTTTTTTTCTTTAATACTTGAAAAAGAAAATACGTTACAAAAACATATACCTTAATTTCTTTATCTTGCGTTTGCTTGAAGGGTTTTGAAATTAAAACCACCACCAATGACTAAGAGGTAAGAACACAATAGATGCCCATGGAAAAAATTAAAAATAAAAAAGTTAATTATTCTACGACATTCTTTCTTTTCCACTACTTTTCTTTCTTTTTCTTTTTCTTCGGTACAAGTTGCTTTGGTCAAAATTAAATTCGACGGACATCATTTTAATATCTTAGATTTTCAATAACTCTTACTAAATTTAATTCTGAGTTGCAAATTCTTTTATTTGTTTTTTTATTGAAATATGRGATCCAACTCACAACTTCTTAATTTGAGATATATATCTATTATCGTTGAAGTAAGTTCGTTTTGATAACGATGGATAAAGCTAATATCTTCGATAAGATCTAATATATTTTATATTTTATTAATAAATGGATCATATCCTTTAAGTACTATTATGATGAGTGGACAAGACTATTAAACCAAACAAATGGGTAAAAATAAATGAAATTTTCACTATTTTAATATTATATTATATTTTATAGATAAATGGATCATAATAATACTTTTCATCTTGTAAAAATAAATTACGTTGCAAACCTATGTTTAGTTTGTAAATTTATAAATTATAAAAAAATAGTATGAATATTGTAACAAGATGAGTTTTATCAACTTGAATTTATCTTCTTAATTTTGAATTATACCATCTTTAATTAACTTATGAGCCAAGTATACCTCCCAGACATGATCTATATACTTTTTTAGTCAGATTTCAATATTTAAAGCCAAGAAAAGGCTTTCTTAGTCAAAGTTCAATTATTATTCTTAATGTGGAAAAAAATCGAAAAAAGAAAAAAAAACTGAAGTACTGATATTTGAAACAAGCCTTGACCAAAAACCATGATCTGATTTTCCTTAACATTAGTCAAATGGGCATTATTAATTAATACTGAAATTATGACAAATAACCTAACTTAATTCAATAATACACTTAAAATTCAAGTTTTAATCTCTCCGTATAATAATAGGTATATGAACTTAAAAAAATTTCTAATAAGACTTTAAATTGGAATATAACTTAATTATAATTTAATTGAAAAGAAAGAAATGCTTCTTTTTGGGAATTCTCATTTTCTCAAAAGTTGCCGGAGTCAATAAGGTCCAGAGGAATTTGGATGAGGATAAAAAAAGACCAAAACCAAAGACATGAATTTTAAGGAACAAAAGCGGGGTTTTCTTTTCAACCTGAACTGCTATAATTAAGATCATGAATTTCAATCCTTCCATCCTACTTGATTGTGCTAAAAAACAATACGAATACTTTCGCCATTCGAGTAAATTTGTATTTCATCCGAATTAAAATTATAATATGTTAAAATTTAGTTTTAACATAATTTTATTAAATAATTCCTTTTTACCCTATAAAAAAAAAATATATATAAATCCAACAAAAGAGGAACTGTGTATATTTTGGAATCCTTATCATCCACGTTCGATGGGATGAGAATTTCCCCTTTTTAATTTGGAGTTCCTTTCCAGTATCATTTTCCCCCGGTCAGTTTGATAGCGATAATTTTCTAAAAAGTTATTTTAAATTAAAAATTAAAAGAAAAGAGAGCAAATACGGTTTTTTTCCTTTTAGTACGACCAAATACTTAGTTTAGTTAATTAATTTAAATTTTATCAAATAAAATTCTTAATTCGAATACAATTACTTTTTTTTTTTTAAGTTTAAATTTGTGACTGGCTATAGACATTTTTGTGGTCGTGTTGTTTTTATAAACATGTTTTTTAGTTGATTTGGACATTTTGTTACTACGTCTTTGAGTTTTTTTATTATTTTTTATTTTTAATTTAGGTATTTTCATAATTAGGCCCGAGCACTTTTGTTGTTTGATTTTTTTTTAATTATAAATTGAGCACTTCAAAATAAATTTTTTCTTTTTTTCTTTCTGGCAAGTTGAAGATGTGGGTCATCTCTCCCTTTTTGGCTACAGGGTTGAAGATGCAATACTTTCCAACTGGTTCCTTCCTTTTCCTTTTATGTGTAATCCAACTCAAATCGATGCCAAGATTCTCCGTTTTTATCCCATTCCAAAGCTTTCGCTTCGTAAAGTAACTCATCTTTATAGAGAATCGAAGTCCTCTTTTCTCGACAAAGATGTCTCCCACCTCAAAACAACAGATAAAAAAAGATTCAAACATCTGATATTCTATTTGACTACAATTTCATTATATTTGAGAGAAGCAATGCATATATATATATATATATATATATATATATATATATATATATATAGTTTTGATGACCCTTGTAGGTATAATATATGAGTCAAAAGCTACCCATTATATATAGTTTTGATAACATTTGTCGATATAATATATGAGTGAAAAGCTACAAAATTTTGAAGGAAAACATAAAATGATATTTTGTGGCTATCCTCATTTTCCTTTATGTGTCATACAATATTCAAAACAATCATTTGCTGAAAATTGACTCGCTCAACTAGGCTTCATTATTCCATATCAAAAGTATATATATATAGAGTTAATTTAATAAAGTGATTTTATTATATATATTCTCGTTCTTGGCTGTGTCTCTTAAAAGCAAGAAACRAATTAGAGATTCTTTATTTGGGTCGAGTTCTCCCCACTCAAGTAGCAAAAAGTTTTCAAAAATAGTCTATATCTAAAAGCATACATAATTGTACTATAGATTAGAAAGAAAATAAAATGTATATGGTTTGTATACAACATAGTTTATTTTTAAAAAATAAGGACATGGAGTTGTGACTCCTATTAAATCGGAGTTTCCATGCATAATAGGAAGGAGGGTATTAAATTTTTATCAATTTAATCAATATTTTTATAT